CGGGACCAGACAGGCTGTCGCCGGCGCCTGTGCGCATGCGCGGGTGCTGGCGCGGGAAAAGTAACACATTGACGTGGGAAATGCCTATATAAGAGGCTGGGAGCTTTTGGGCGCTGCTGAAGCCTTCTATCTGTAAGCTGAACACAGAATAAAGAAAACCTGAGAACTACAACTGCTTCTCGTGTCTTGCCTTCCGCGAAGGACTCAACAGTACCCCCTATACTATACCTGTGCATTTGGTTTTTCTTGCCTAAATGTAGAACCTTGCTTTTTTCACCATTGAATTTCATGTTATTAGATAGCGCCCAGTGTTCAAGTCTGTCCAGATCCTCCTGTATCCTAAGCCTGTCTTCTGGAGTGTTGGCTATTCCTGCCAGCTTGGTGTCATCAGCAAATTTGATGGTTTCCCCATCTATCCCCTCGTCCAAATCGTTGATGAAGATGTTGAAGAGTACTGGGCCCAGAACAGAGCCCTGGGGCACCCCACTACACACTTCCCTCCATGTAGATGCGGTTCCACCTTCAACTGAACCCAGCCTACTCCACAGGGTTGTTGTTGCGGGCAATCTGGGCATCCTGTTGAATTCTTGGAAGAAGAGGAGAGAGGGGAGCAAGTCAGGGTGACCCAGTGACAGTGGTGGGATTCAACCAGTTCGCCCCACTTTGGCAGAACTGGTAGCTATTTTTTGGTTGCCCAGGCCCAGAATGGACTTCCAGAAGCAGCATCCACACAGAGAACCTGTTGTTCTCAGATTTGAATCCCACCACTGCCCAGGGAGTTGGAGTGGCCATCATCTCAGAACCATGTGTTAGTTGGGACCCTCCAGAAAGGGTCTAGGCCAGGGGGAGGCAGCCTTGGCTCTTTTATGACTCCTGGACTTCAACTCCCAGAATTCCTAAGCCAGCATGAGGGAACTATGGCCCCTTCATGACTCATGGACTTCAACTCCCAGAATTCCTAAGCCAGCATGAGGGAACTATGGCCCCTTCATGACTCATGGACTTCAACTCCCACAATTCCTAAGCCAGCATGAGGGAACTATGGCCCCTTCATGACTCATGGACTTCAACTCCCACAATTCCTAAGCCAGCATGGGGGAACTAAGGCCCCCTCATGACTCGTGGACTTCAACTTCCAGAATTCCTGAGCCAGCATGGCTCAGCTGGGAAACCTCCCTTTCCCTCAGTATGGCTGGCTGAGGAATTCTGGGAGTTGAAGAAGACTGGTGCTGGAGAAGACTCCTGTGGTGCTGGAGAAGACTCGCAGGAGTCTTCTCCAGCACCAGAGTTCAAAGGCCTCCATTCTTTGGCGCTCAGCCTTTCTTATGGTCCAACTTTCACAGCCATACATTGGAACTGGGAAAACCATGGCCTGGACTATACACACTTTTGTTGGCAGGGTGATGTCTCTGCTTTTTAGTATGCTGTCTTTCTCTGTCTCTGTCTTTCTCTGGAATAGCCAGAGCCAAATCCTGCAGCCGTTCTTCGTATGTTTTACTCTCCAGGCCTTTAATCATCCTAGTTGCTCTTCTCTGCATTTTTTTCCAAGTCTCAACATCTTTTTTGTAATGTGGTGACCAAAATTGAATGCAGCATTCCAGTCTGGTTTTACCTAGGTTTTATAAAGTGATACTAATGTGTGATTATAATTCTATGCCTCTGTTTATGCAACCCAGGATTGTATTAGCTTTTTTGGCTGCTGCTGCACACGGCTGGCTCATGGTCAAGGGATCGCCAACTAGGACTCCAAGGTCCCTCTCACAGTTGCTGTTTTTGAGCCTGGTCTCACCTAATCTGTACTTATATCTTTGATTTTTCCTGCCTAAGTATTTTGAAACTTTGCTTTTCTCCACATTGAAACTCATTTTGTTGGTTAGGGCCCTTTGTTCCAGTTTATCAGGATCTTTTTGAATCCTGTCTTCTGAGGTGTTGGCTACTCCTGCCAGTTTGGTGTCATCTGCAGATTTGATGAGTTCCCCTTCAATTCCCTCATCTAAGTCATTGATGAAGGTGTTCAGGAGGGCTGGACCTAAGACGGAGCCTTGTGGTACACACTGCTTGCTTCTCTCCATGTGGATGTGGTGCCCCTGAGGACTACTCGTTGAGTATGGTTTGCCAGCCAGCTACAGCTCCATCTGGTAGTGATGTTGTCTATTCCAACATTTTTGCCAGTACTTTCCCAGGTTCAATGGGAAGCCTCAACACCTACTTCAAATTCAACAGGAAAATCTATAAGCAAGTACAAGGCACCCCGGTGGGATTCCCCATATCAGGCCCAATAGCAGAAGCAGCCATGCAGTGACTCGAATCCATAGCCCTACCCACTACCCAACCAAGATTCTGGACACGCTTATGTCAATGACTCCTGTGTCATCATGAAACGTTCCCAAATTGAGGAAACACCCCCCCCTCCATAACCCTCAGTAACACATTCCCTGGGATAAGTTCACACACAAAGAGGAAATAGACAATGGACTCCCATCCCTCAACCTCGACCTGTAAGGAAACGGGACAACAGAGAGCTGGAAACCCACGTCTGCCGCCATCCTACGCACACAGACCAGATCCTCAGCTTCGCAATTAACCCCCCACCACCACACACAAAGGAGCTGCCTCCAGGCCCTCTTCAGAGGGGGGGCAGGACTTCCTGCAGCACCACAACGCAAAGAAAAGTGGAGGAGAAATGGCTGCCTGGCGCCTTTCTCCACAACAGCTCTCTGAGAATCTTTGTATTCTGACAGCACCCAAACCACAACGCACCACACAGCCGACCACTGAGTAAACACTAATCGTACCAGATACAAACGGGGGTGACGGAAACGACAGCCAGAGTTCTTCAACCCTTAGGAATAGCAACAGCCCACAGACCCACAGCCACACTCTGCCAGGAATTATCCAGAACCAAAGACAAGCGAAGACCCGACCGGCCTGGAGTCCAAACGAAAGCCAGCCAGGTGCTCCCAATAGGGGTTGAGGCTCAAGGCAAAAGGAAGCTGGCCGGGAAGGCTGATTCTCCAGGGGGCACCCTCAAGAACCCCCCCCAATCTTGCCATTACGGGGCCCTCGGCCTGGGCAGCAAGGCTTCCCTGCAGGATGGGTGCGGGCACACAGTCCCAGGGCTTCCCAGCACGGGGACAGGAGCAGCCAGGCAACCCGTTCCCACCACAGACCTTGAGCAGCCCCCAGGGGGAAAGGATCCCAGCAGGTGGGCCCTCCGGGGAACAAGGGGGGGGGCTGGCAGAGGAGCCCTGCTGGTGCCCAGCCCCCCTGGGTCTGAGCATGGTGGAGGGAAGGAGGGAGGGATGAGTCTCTGGCCCAGGAAGAGTAAGTGCTGGGAGGGACCTTGGAGGTCTTCTAGTCCAGCCCCCTGCTCAAACAGGAGAGCCTAGACCAGAGGTAGGCAACCTTGGCTCTTTTATGACTCGTGGACTTCAACTCCCAGCATAGCTGGCTCAGGAATTCTGGGAGTTGAAGTCCAGGAGTCATAAAAGAGCCAAGGTTGCCTACCCCTGGCCTAGACCCTCCCAGACAGGTGGCTGTCCAGTCTTTCCTTGGAAACCTCCAGCGACAACTCTTGCAGGAAACGTCTTTCCACTGATTGTTCTCCCTGTCAGGAAGTTTCTTCTTATTTGATATTTCTAAGTTTGGTTCTCTCCTTGGTGAGTTTCCCTCCGTTGCTTCTTGTCCCGGCTTCTTCAGGGTCTCTGGAGAAGAGCTTGACTCCCTCTTCTTTGGGGCAGCCCCTCAGATATTGGAAGACTGCTATCCTGTCCTTCTCTTCGTTAAAAGTGACATTCCCGGTTCCTGCAATCATTCTTTGCAGGTTTTAGCCTGGGGCGAGGAGGAAGGAGGGTCCCTCTAGCGTCCTCTCTGCCCCCTTGGGCAAAAGGCAGGTGGGGAGGGTCCTAGGAAGGGCGGCCACTGAAGCAGGGGGGTCTCTGCCCACTCCCACCCCCCTGCCTCCCTTCCCTCTCTTTGGATGCCCCCCCTGCCAACCTGTGTCAAGTTCCCTCCCCTTCCCTCAAAGGCTGCCCCCTGGTGGAGCCAGGCAGCATGGCGGCTTCCTTGCAACTCTCCTCCTGCCCTTAGGATGCAACAGCCCCCCCCTCCACCCCCATGAAGACAGGGCTCTTCCCACATGCCTTGGGGCAGGCTGGGAGGCCCCAAAGGTGGAGTTTTCTGTGTGCTGTTTATGGGATTGTTGTTAAGGGCCGTTATTGTTGCTATTGCTGCATTGTTGTGTGGGGGCTCCCGGGGTTGAGTCGCATCTAATAAATACATCAATGCTTCTGGAAGGCAAGGCTATTGCGCCTGGGTTCAGCCGTGGGGAAACCGAAGGGGGTCGTTTCCTTGGGGGAGGGGCTCCCCAACCTGCTTCCCTGCCCTCCTGCCTCTGAGCCCCACAAGAGGGCTTGAGAAGGGTGGGCTTTGAGCAGGGCCTCTGTCTGTGTGGCACCCTGCTCCGTTCCCCACTGGACACGGAGCAGGTTAGGCCAGCTGATCTCCCCCTCCCCCGCCTCTCCCAGCCTCCCCATTAGCTCTGTTGCCGGCATCTTCTGCTCTTTCCCCAAAGCCCCCTCCCCCCCAGGCCTGCATGAGCTAAATTTGGTGAATATTGGGGGGGGGGCAGTGAGATCTTAGCAAGTTGTGTCAATTTATTGTGCTCTCCCCCCCCATGTAAGAAATAATTAAGGTTCCCCTCCCCACTTTCTGGGTTGAAGTCCCATTTCCTTTCTTAACCTCCAAAGCTTGGGGTGGAGGAGGATGGGGGCTCTAGAAACGGACCCCTCCCCCAGCAAAGGAAGAACACCCCCCCCCAGAAACTGCAGAGTTCAGTGAGTTCAGCAAATGGCTTTGCCCCAAAGAAATTCTGTTCCTTTCCCTCAGCCCCCAACTGTGCTTCCCTGGGGTCAGGCGGGGGGGGGGCTTCGGGTGACCCAGCAAGACTGCTCTCCTCCCCCCAGTCTCCCTCCCAGGACCACAAAAGCACAACATTCTGCTTGTTCTGGGGAGAACTTTTATTGCGTCATCCGTGGGCTAGGAGGGGCTCCAGGCATGGCGAGGGGGGGCAGGCGGCTGCCATGCCTACTGGGAGGTCTAGTGGTAGCGGTAGGCCAAGGCGTGGGCCACCACATTGGTCAGCTTCTGAAAGGCGGCGTGGGTGCTGGGGGTAAACTATTCCCCATGGTGGCCGGCCAGGACAATGACGAGGATGTCGCCCAGAAGCTGGAAGAGAGGAGGGGGGGGACTGACACCTGCTGCAAGAGGAGCCTTGGCTGGCATCCCTGCCCTTTGACCCCCCCCCCCCGCCCCACCCCTGCCCCCGCCCTGACACGGAACCCAGAAGGAGCAGTGGACATATTCAGACGCTCCACCTTTCCCTCCTGGACTGCGCCAATCAATTGTCCCTCTGATCCAGGTCAGCCCTGTGACCGGACAGCGGTCCCTCTCCTGGGAGACTTTTGGCTCCTTCCTGGCCCTGAACGGGGCCACTGCCGCCATTTCAGGGCAGGACCCAGCCGGAAAAGGCTGCCCTGGTGCCAAGGAGAGGAGGTGCCCAGCCCGGGAGGGAGGCGGGGGGGGGGTTCCACCTCACCCTGAAGTTCTCGGGGTCCACGTGCAGGTTCTCGTAGTGCAGCTCACTCAGCTTGGAGAAGGTCTCCTTGATGCTGTCAATGTTCTTGACGGCCTCCCCGAAGGTGCTCAGCACCTTCTTCCCGCGGGCCCTGACCAGGGGGTTGGCGGAGATGGCGCTGGGGCCGGAGAGGTTCCCGAAGTCGGCGAAGTAGCGCTGGGTCCAGGGGTACACCACCAGCAGTCTGCCAGGGGAGGGAGGGAGAGAGAAAGGGGGGAGGAGGAAGAGGAGACGGTGGGGGGGGGTCCCTGCGGGGCCTGCCCTGCCCTCCCCCGGCCCGGCCGCAGCTCTTACCTCCCGAGGCTGGCAACGTCCACTGCGAGCACGTCCACCTCGCTCCAGAGGGCGGTGATCAGCTGCTTCTGTACGGGCGTCCAGTGCACCATGCTGGCTGCTGGAGGACGGAGCGCTGGAGAGACGGTCGGCGACGAGGAGGAGGAGGGAGCGAGCTGAGCCCGGACCTCGGGGCCAACTTTTATACCCTGCGCCCCGCAGCCCCGCCTACCCGGAGCGGGCCTCGCCCGGACCCGCCGCCTCCCATCCCCTCCCTCCCTCCCTCCCTCTCTGTCGGGGGGGGGGCGCGCAGAAGGCCGCTCTCCCCCGTCCTGCTCCAGCTTCCTCGGCGCAGGAGCGCCCCGGCCGGCCCCAGGCCCCGGCGAGGCTCCTCGGCGCACTTCAGCGCTGGACTCGTGTCCGGGACGCGACTGGATGTGCTGCGCCTTTCCTGGACCGGCAACGCCAGGTCCGCGTCTGAGCCCAGTTGCAGCCGACCCGACCCGTTAACCTGGCCGAGGAGCGAGTCTGCCCTTCCGCTCCTCGGAGACCGTCCGGGGAGGCTGCTGGCCTTGAGGGGGAGGCGGGGGGGGGACACCTCCTGGCAACGGAGCCCTCCCCGGCCGGGGCCGCAGCCCGGGACAAGCTCGCCTCGCCCCAGGGGGGGGGCAGGAGGGGACCCGGGGCTTGGCGGGGGGCGACGCCTTTCCCTCAGCCAGGGGAGGGGGCTGCAAAGGGCGACTGTCGGCGAGGGGACTCCGCAGCTGTCGGAGTTGCCAAGTTTGAGAAACACGGATGTAGACCTTGGAGAGGGGAGCGTGTCAATCGCCAGCTTCCTTTCTGCCCCATCATGATCCCCCCTCCCATGGGGGATTAATAATGATGAGAGAGAATTAATCATAATAATAAACTTGGAAGGGACCTTGGAGGGTATCTAGTCCAACCCCCTGCTCAGGCAGGAAACCCTAGACCATTTCGGACAAATGGCTGTCCAGTCTCTTCTTAAAAACTTCCAGTGTTGGAGCATTTACTGCTTCTGGAGGCAGGTGGTTCCACTGGTTAATTGTTCTGACTGTCAGGAAGTTTCTCCTTAGTTCCAGGTTGCTTCTCTCCTTGGTTAGTTTCGACCCGTGGCTTCTTGTCCTGGCTTCAGGGGCTTTGGAGAATAGCTTAATTCCCTCTTCTTTGTGGGCAGCCGCTGAGATACTGGAAGACTGCTATCCTGTCCCCCCCTCATCCTTCTCTTCATTAAACTAGCCATAGCCAATTCCAGCAACCGTTCCTTACATGCTTTAGCCTCCAGTCCCCTAATCATCTTTGTTGCTCTTCTCTGTACTCTTTCTAGTGTCTCAACATCTTTTTTACATCGTGGTGACCAAAACTGGATGCAGTATTCCAAGTGTGGCCTTACCAAGACATTGTAAAGTGGTATTAACGCTTCACATCATCTTGATTCTCTCCCTCTGTTAATGCAGCCTAGCACTGAGTTGGCTTTTTTGGTAGCTGCAGCACACTGCTGGCTCATATTTAAGGGATTATCCACTAGGATTCAATAGTTACTACTATTGAGCAAGGTACCTGTTATGTCCCGAGCCTTGCAAACGGGCTGGGGGCGTTTGCAGGCAGTCCCGGGCAGGTGCAAAGCTGCCCGGGACCAGACAGGCTGTCGCCAGCGCCCGTGCGCATGCGCGGGTGCTGGCGCGGGAAAAGTAACACACTGACCTGGGAAATGCCTATATAAGAGGCTGGGAGCTTTTGGGCGCTGCTGAAGCCTTCTATCTGTAAGCTGAACACAGAATAAAGAAAACCTGAGAACTACAACTACAACCCGTCTCCTGAAAATGGCAAAGGTTGGAAGGCTTTCGGAGTTCGACATCTCACATCCAGAGCGGTGGGAGTCCTACGTAGCCAGGGTGGAGAACTACTTCAAGGTGAACCAAGTGAGGGAAGATAGCTTGAAGGCTGCCACCCTGCTTTGTGTCTGCGGTCAAGACGCCTTCGAAATCGCAGAGAACATTGCAGCACCAGTTCCATTAGAGTCTGTCAGCTACGCAGATCTAAAGAAGCTACTGAAGGAGCACTTCCAGCCCAAGATGTCCGTCATCGCATGGCGCCACACCTTCGAGCAGAGGGATCAACGATCCGGAGAGTCGGCCAAAGAGTACATCGCCGCATTGAGGAAGGCTGCCAAGCACTGCGAGTTCAAGGACCTCGAAGAATGACTGAGGGACCGATTCGTGTGCGGCTTAAGGCATCGAGATTTACAACAGAGGCTTTTCGCCAAAGAAGACTTGTCCTTCCAAGATGCCTTAAGAGAGGTCACCACAGAAGAAGCAGCAGGCGGCGCCGTCAAGAACATGCGGCCGATCAGGAACAGTCCAGATGTTGCATCCGTGCACCAAGAGGACATCCAAGGGAACTCTGAGGAGGATCCGGACGAGGAAGTCGACCGCCTCCACCCCACGAAGGAAGGGAATCAGAAAGGAAGCTACTCAGCTCCCCTCAAGTGCATCGGCTGTGGAGGTCGCCACAGGAGAACCGACTGCAAGTTCCGCTCCGCTATCTGCCGGGCATGCGGAAAACAAGGACATATTGCAGCTGTGTGTCTGGGCCGACGAAAGGTACAACCTCAGGAAGAACTGCCCCTGAAAGGTACCAGGGTCCCCAGCCAGAATAGGGTAGGTTTTTGCACTTCGCGAAGGAGCATCTTCAGGACAGGCACACACAAGCCCATCAAGAAAAAGCTGTCACTCAAGGTGAAGCTACAAGGGGTTCCATTAACTATGGAACTAGACACGGGGTCTGCTCTTTCAATCATCTCCTTGCATACATTTAGGAAGATTTGTTCCGGCAGTGAAACTCAGGCCAAGTTAAGGCCTTCTGACATTGTGTTAACAGATTTTCAAAATTCAAGAGTGTGTGTTAAGGGGGAGGCCACCCTTAACGTGCAGTACAAGAATTTTGAAGGTCCACTAGACCTATTAGTAGTAGGGGGTGAACGAACGAGTCTCATAGGACTCGATTGGTTGGAGGCCTTGGGGATACACGTCACAGGGCTCAACAGCTTACAAACACTCGACCTACAGGAAGTCTGCAAAGAATTTGCAGATGTTTTCAGCCCCTAGCTGGGCACATTGAAAGGACCCCCTGTGTCCTTAAAGTTAGACGCCACTGTCACTCCCATTAGAATTAAAGCAAGAAGGGTCCCTTTTGCTTTAAAGAGTAAAATTGACACTGAGTTGGACAAACTGATTCAACAGGGAATTCTAGAACCTGTTGATTCCAGTCCTTGGGAGATCCCCATTATCACGCCTCTAAAGGCAAATGAGCACATTCGCATTTGTGCTGATTACAAATGCACTCTTAATAAGGCATTGCAGCAACATGCCTATCCTGTTCCTGTGGTCAATCATATCCTGTCCTCCCTCAAGGGGGGGCGTGTTTTTGCAAAGCTTGACCTAGCTCAAGCATATCAACAGCTGCCTGTTGATGATGATGCTGCCATAGCTCAGACTATTGTGAGCCACAGAGGGGCCTTTAAGGTAAAAAGGCTACAGTTTGGAGTGAATGTCGCTCCTGGGATTTTCCAAAGCGTAATGGAAGACACACTACGGGGTATACCAGGGTTTGCCCCTACTTTGATGATGTCTTAATTGCAGGAGACTCCACACACATTCTAGCTGAAAGGCTAAGGGCTGTTCTGTTAAGATTCAGGAAAACAGGCCTCAAGCTCAAAAAAGACAAATGCAAAATTGGGGTGCCTTCTACTGAATTTCTGGGGTTCAAAATTGATCCTGCTGGGATTCACCCTGCTGAATCCAAACTAACTGCTATTTTAGAAGCACCTAGGCCAAAGTCTAAGGCCGAACTTCAGGCCTTTCTGGGCCTCCTGAATTTCTACAATTCCTTTCTTCCACATAAAGCTAGTGTAGCTGAGCCTCTTCACAGGCTATTAGATAAACAAACAGTGTGGCAGTGGTCACAAACACATGAGGCTAGCTTCAACGAGGTCAAGGCCTTGCTCACTTCTAACAGTGTACTTGCACACTTCAATGAGTCCCTTCCTGTGTGCATCGCTTGTGATGCATCCCCTTAAGGGGTAGGAGCTGTCCTGAGCCACCTCAGGTCTGATAGAACTCAGGTTCCTGTTGCATATTACTCCAGAACATTGTCTTCTGCTGAGCGCAACTACGCTCAGATAGACAGGGAGGCTCTGGCTGTTGTTGCTGGAATTAAAAAATTCCATGATTTTTTGTATGGCAGGCATTTCACGGTCTTCACTGACCATAAGCCTCTGCTGGGACTGTTTACCACACGTAAGCAAACTCCCCAAATCATTTCCCCTAGAATGCTTATGTGGGCTATTTTTCTGTCTGCATATGATTTTTCCTTACTCCACAAGCCTGGGAAAGAAATGGGCCATGCTGATGGCCTCAGTAGATTGCCCCTGCCAGTAGTAGAAGCTGACCCTGTGCCAGCTGTCAACATTCTATCCATCCAGGCCTTGCCCAAGCTCCCTCTTAATGCCAGGGATGTTGCCGCTGAAGCAGGCACAGATCACACACTTTCACGTGTCCTTTCCTGGGTTTTGTCTGGATGGCCTGAGCACTGCCCTATCCTGAGTTTCAGAGTTTCTGGTCCAAAAGGAACGAGTTGTCCACTTCTCAGGGTTGTCTGCTTTGGGGAAACAGAGTTGTCATTCCCACCTCAATGAGGACTAGGGTCTTAGAGTCCCTCCACGAAGGTCATCCTGGCATTGTTCGTATGAAGGCTCTTGCGCACGGCCACTTGTGGTGGCCTGGTTTAGATAAGGACATTGAGGCTAAGGTGCATGCATGCCACCTGTGCCAGCGATCTCGCCCAGAGATGCCCCAAGCTCCTGTGCATAGATGGGAGGAAACGCAGTCCTCTTGGTCTAGGGTGCACATTGACTACGCTGGGCCCTTTCAGGGCCAGTTCTTCTTGGTCCTTGTTGACAGCCATTCAAAATGGCTTGAGGTTGTACCTGTCTCATCCACTACCACTGCAAAGACTATTCAGGTACTGAGGGGGATTTTTGCTGCACACGGGCTTCCTGATGTCATTGTGTCTGACAACGGCCCTCAATTCACTTCCTCCGAATTCCAAGCTTTCTTACAGGCTAACATGATTCGTCATGCCACGTCTGCACCCTTCCACCCATCCACCAA